CACCTATGGCCAGTCCGTCGCTGAAGTTGTGCATCCCGTCTCCCATGATGACCATCCAGGCGATACTGGCGATGCCCGCGTCCTTCATGTCCTGGTCTGAGTGACAGTTGCCCCCGTGAGAGTGCCCGTGAGAGTGCCCGTGAGAGTGCCCGTGAGAGTGCCCGTGAGCCTTGTGTCCGTTCTTCTTGGGGGAGGGTGCGGGGGGAGGAAGCGAGGCGGTGGAGGGGTCGGTCTGGGCCGAGGGGGAGTCTGGGGTCTGGACCTCTGTGAGCTGAGTGTCGCTGAGCCCGTTGTCACACGCCGCACTGCTGTCTGCGTCTGGGAATCAGCAGAGAAACATCTCAACTGTTGCCATGGAGATTAAGAAATTAAACTAAACAGTTCATGATGTTGCAGAAAATCTCAGATGGAATTGGCTGTTTAAAGAGCCAACAGTCCCTGACAAAAGTCTTGTCTCTTATCCATTTTGTAGAAACAAAAGCTTATAACCTGACTTTAAATTAATCGACTGGTTTTAGAAATGTCTCATATGAAGCTAAAACCCTCCCAAATTATGCTCAATATACTAAAATAAATTTGCTTCACTGAAGAAAGATTACCGTATTTTCTGGACGAAAGAGCGCACCTGTATAAAAGCCACATCCGCTCTGTTTTTAAAAATAACGATATACAAGCCGCACCAGGCTATACGCCGCAGATATCTATGTTGAAAAATTAGATATTTACTGCATGTACAGAACGATTTTGTACTGTAAATGTACATGTATGTACCTGAACAGATTCTTTAAACAGTGCCTTTTAACACGGCAACAATTTTGCTAATTAAAACGGAACAGAACCAAGAGAAAATAACCGGTATTTATTTACCTTAATTTCTCTTGTGTTTGAAACCACAAGTCACTTTAATCATCTTCGCTGAAACCCATGAAGTCCTCTTCTTCAGTTTCGGAGTTGAACAGCCTCAGAAGCGCTTCGTCACATCTGTCTCCATCAGTTTCGCTCTCCGTGCCACTGTCATCCTCCGGTGAAGTTGGCTCTGAAGGGACAACGTTCTCTTCGCATAGCAGTCCAGCCTTTCGGAACCCCTTGGTGATGGTGGATTCTTTCACAGCACTCCACGCTGTTAGGATCCACTGACAGACATCAGAAAAGGATGCTTTTCGCATGCGGCCAGTTTTTGTGAATGACTTTTCACCACTTGTCATCCAAGTCTCCCACTCAACCCGGAGAGCGGCTTTAAATGCCCGATTCACACTGATGTCAAGTGGCTGCAAATACTTTGTTGTACCTCCAGGAATCACAGCTGGAATGGAGTTTGTTTTCTTGATCGCTGCTTTCACAGAATCTGTGATGTGGGCCCTCATGCTATCCAAAACAAGCAGTGCTTTTTTCCGGTGAAAAAATCCTCCCGAGCGCTTGCCGTAGCACTCCGTTAACCATTCCTTCATTAGGCCTTCCATCATCCACCCTTTGGTGTTAACTTTGACCACAATGCCTTTCGGAAGTTGTTCTTTCGGCATAGTTATCCGCTTAAAAATCACCATTAGAGGAAGTTTTTGTCCGGATGCCGTGCATGCCAGAATGCAGGTGAAGTGCGTTCTCTCGTGGCCTGTTGTTTTCAACAACACGGATGATGCACCTGTCTTGTTAACAGTCCTGGTTAGAGGCAGATCAAACGTCAAAGGTACTTCATCCATATTTATGATGTCGTCTGGTCTGATGGAGTTTTCTTGTATCTTTGTGTCAACGAATTTGTGGAAATTTTCAACTTTTTCCTGATAGTCAGCGGGGAGTTGCTGACAGAGAGTGGTCCGTGCCCTAATGGACAGGTTTTTACGTCTTATAAATCGGAAACACCATGACGGCCCAGCTTTAAAATCTTCAAAATTCATTTCGCGGGCGATTGTTTTGGCTTTCAGTCGGATCTGTACAGTGGATACACCTTGGCCACCTGCTCTCTGTGTGTTCACCCAGTCCTCCAGGACATTTTCAAGTTCAGGCCACCTGCTTTTATGTCCTCTGAAAGCCTTTTTTGACTTTTGGCATTGTATGAGCTCTTCACGCTGACGCCTCCATCGTCTCACCATAGATTCATTGATGCTAGGCTTGCGTGCAACAGCGCGGTTTCCTTCCTGGATAGCAAGATCGATGGCCTTCAGCTTAAAACGTGCATGATACGAACTTCTTCGTGCCATTACCAGTTGGTAATTTCTCGTGCGTGTTCTATCTGCTGAAGAAAAAGTACCGTATTCTTCTTTGCATTGATTTTTCGTCTTATTTTTTATTCTAATTCCGGTTAGAGCGCCCCTAGCGGTGGAAGAAAAATCCACAGAATAGCCGCACCTTTATTTAAGCCTCATGGTTCAAAATCTAGGGAAAAAGTAGCGGCTTTTCATCCAGAAAATACAGTAATCATTTAATGAACACAGAAAGGTCAGATTTTGGCAAGACAAAAGTTTTGTCGCCTACAGAAAATTGAACGAATAATTTACTTCAAATACAAAAATATGTTGCATAACGTCAGTGAATGAAGTAGTGGTGCTGTGAGATCCATATTTAATATCTTGTATGACTCCATGAGCTTGAAGGACGCATCCACACGGTTCGACAATGATTCATACAATTTGTTGATGAAGTCATCAGGAATAGCAAAGAAAGCGTCTTACATGCCTCCCAGAGTTCATCAAGATTCTTTGGTTTTGCCTTCCATGCTTCCTCTTTCATTCTACCCCAGACATGCTCAATGATGTTCATGTCTGGTGACTGGGCTGGCCAGTCCTGGAGCACCTTGATCTGCTTCACCTTGACAAACTTTGATGTAGAGATAGAAGTATGTGATGGAGCACCATCCTGCTGCAAAATTTGACCCCTTTTATGGTTGGGAATGTAAGAGGAGCTAATACTTCTTGATATTTTAGGATATTGATATTGTCTTCCACCCTGCAAATGTCTCGCACACCCCCAGACTGGATGGAACCACAGACCAGGATTTTTCCGCCACCAAACTTAACTGTTTTCTGGGTGAATCTTGGATCCATGCGGCTCCAGTAGGTCTCCTACAATATTTGCGGCGGCTGTGATGTAATTCAACCGAGGATTCATCTGAGAAACCCACCTTCTGCCACTTTTCCAGTGTCCATCCTTTTAGCAGGCTGTGGGCCTTGGCAAATGCCACACGCTTTTTAATTGCCTTTTGTTTAGTGCTGGTTTCTGTGCACTGATTCGACCATGGAGGCCATTTCCAGACAGAATTCTACAAACTGTTGTGGTTGACACAGGGACTTGAGGTGACCAGGCCTGGTGGAGTCTGCTGCAGTGGAAAAGGGGCCTTGGATTTTTGAATCAACAAATGGTCCTCCCGAGCAGTTGTCTTGCGGGGTCTGCCGGACCTGGGCTTGTCAAAAACATCTCCAGTCATTTCAGATCTTTTTCTTATTCTTTGTACTTGACGCTGAGACACATTGAAGGTGTCACCACCTCAGCAGTGGATCTGGTCTTCAGTCTCTTGATAATTAACACTTTGGTCTCAGGGTGGATCTTAGGCATGTTGTCAGAGGTCAAGTTGCAGTTGATGTGAAGGTCTGGTTCTGCTGGGTTCTTTTTATACACACCCACTAACTGATTGATCAGTAACTGATCACAGTGAGGCTGTAATCTAGGATTGGGTGCATCATATGACAAGGCCACAAGACTTTTGTCTTTCCAAAATCTGACCTTTCTGTGTTCATTAAATGATCAATCTTTTTTCAGTGAATAAATTTATTTTAGTTTATTGAGCATAATTTGGGAGGGTTTTAGCTTCATATGAGACATTTCTAAAACCAATCGATTAATTTAAAGTCAAGTTATAAGCTTTTGTTTCTACAAAATGGATAAGCGACAAGACTTTTGTCAGGGACTGAATATTACACTTTTTTTTTTCTTTTACAGTGTTGTTCTTCAAAAATATAAGACCCTTGTTTATGGTTCATATTTCATAAGTTCAGTGTCTTCTCTGTCACTATACATAAATTAAGGTCATCTGATTTTTTAGCTTCATAAACTGACTTACTGAGAGGACTTTTTTACCTTCAGGCAGAGTTTTGAGGTTGAGCCACTCTGCATCTGAGCGTCGGTTCAGTTTGTGGTCTGAAAGTTTCCTCCCGATTCCTCCATCATCACTGCTCTGCTTGGACTGAGGAAAAGACTGTTATACAGGACTGAGCCGGGACTAAGACGGGACTAAGACGGGACTAAGACGGGACGGGACTAAGACGGGACTAAAACGGGACTAAACGGGACTAAGACCGGACTAAGACCGGACTAAGACCGGACTAAGACCGGACTAAGACCGGACTAAGACGGGACTAAGACGGGACTAAGACGGGACTAAGACGGGACTAAGACGGGACTAAAACGGGACTAAGACGGGACTAAGACCGGACTAAGACGGGACTAAGACCGGACTAAGACCGGACTAAAACCGGACTAAGACCGGACTAAGACCGGACTAAGGGACTAAGACGGGACTAAATGTCTGTTCAGACCGGAGCATCACCTCTAACTGGACGCCATTGCATTTGAGTTTAGACAAGTTTGGACGCAGCGGAAAAATGGGAGAAAAATACTTGATGAGTGTCCAGGGCGTCCGTTACCCTGGAAACAAGTGCTATTTTCCCGGTCTTTTCCTGGAACGATGGACCAGGTTGAGTGAGTGACTTTAGTGTATTTATTACATAAAACCATCAGTGGAGGCGATTGGTTCTGTGGTTGTGGTGTGTATATATTTATACTCCGCTAATGTTTGTAGCTCCAGGCCCTGGTTCTTTCTCTTCTTTCGGATAATAACGTTGTTACGACACGGGATAATTGTCCCTAATTGGTTGACATGCCACATCCAACACCAAAAGTTCAGCCGACCACCTGGACATGTGTCTAGAGCAGAGGTGTCAAACTCATTTTGGTCCAGGGGCCGTATCCAACCTACTTTGATCCCAAAGGGGCCGGATCAAAAAACTCAT